ATTCACCATCAGGTCCCATTTCTTCTACAAACACAAATGGATGACTCTTTATAGTGACGACCTAGAAATAGCCCAAGAATGTTCAAACGTTATGGGGATGATAAAATATTGGAAATGTTTCTGGTCAATCTGTGTTCCAAATTTAATGCAAGTGCAGGCTTTTTATTTTAAATTCAAAATTAATATTACCCGTAGTGCTTTAATTTTTGTATTTTTATGAATTTTTCTAAAGTTCTGAATTAATGCTTTTAACTGATGTGCACATTGACCACAATAAAATCAAGGCCTAACTAGCATAAAATATGACCTGCTTGTTTCAATTCTTCATACCGTAGAGTACTTTATTTTCACTTGGAATTTATTTTCGCTATTTTTGCTGAAGGGCTGCTTCAGTGAAAATAAAATCCAGCGAATATACTTTTTACCTATGTCTCACATTCAACTCATCAAACATCAGTGAAAATAAATTCCATACAAAATACAAAATTAATTCCAGCTAAAATAAAGTATTTCACAGTATTTCACACAAATAACAGCAATATGTATTCATGAATTAAGAATCTATACACATGCATTCCTTGCAAATACAAACAAGCAGCCTATCGGCTGAGATAGCTCCGCTGTTAGAAATGCACATTTCAATTAAAGAACTGAAGACATCATCAGAAAATGAACAATATGTATAGTATCAAAGCAATCGGACTTACAGTTTTTAACAAGAAGTCGAAAATATCACTTTCTACCAAAAATGACAAAAATATTCACCAAAATTAGAGAATTGAAGATATCATCACGAAATGAACAAATCTGAGAAAGGTCTACATGTAGTATCTATATATGTAATATCAAAGCAATTGAACTTTTGGTTTTTAACAAGAAGTCGAAAATATCACTTTTTACCAAATATGACAAAAATATTCACCAAAATTATAGAATCCAAGATATCATCACGAAATGAACAAATCTGAGAAAGGTCTACATGTAGTATCTAAATATGTATTATCAAAGCAATTGAACTATTGGTTTTTAACAAGAAGTCGAAAATATCACTTTTTACCAAAAATTACAAAAATATTCACGAAAATTAGAGAATTGAAGACATCATCACAAAATGAACAAATCTGAGAGAGGTCCACATGTAGTACCTATATATGTAATATCAAAGCAATCGGACTTGTGGTTTTTAACAAGAAGTCGAAAATATCACTTTTTACCAAAAATTACAAAAATATTCACCAAAATTAGAGAATTGAAGATATCATTACAAAATGAACAAATCTGAGAGAGGTCCACATGTAGTACCTATATATGTAATATCAAAGCAATTGCACTTGCGGTTTTTAACAAGAAGTCGAAAATATCACTTTTTACCAAAAATGACAAAAATATTC